AAACCCCTCTTCCAGGCATTCCTGGTTCACTCAGAATGTTCTGAAAATTCTTGGTTTGAAGTTGTTGATCTTAGTTTTCTGCCCCGGTCTCACCTTGAAGATGTTTTTTTCCCCTCGCAAAGACTGAGTTAAGTCCATCCAGCCATAGTGAAATATAGTGAAAACCCTTTTCATATTTCAAAGACAAGCTGTTTTACAGAGAAATAAGTAAGTGCCAAGTAAACACCGGCACGCCACGGAGTTAGAGCTTTAAGGAACGCTCCTTTCCAGGCCAGCTGGCGGTGTGGTGGTGAAGGCAGCTGGATTCCACTTGGCTGACTGCAAAGTTCGAGCCCTGGACACGGCAGCCTGAGAAACATGCTGGGTGCCAGATCCCTAAAGAAGGGAGAGATGGAGAAGGGACTGCCATGTGACCATCCCTCATGGGAGCGATCGCCTTCTCTCTCCCACCCTCTAGCAAATTAAAAAGAAAAAAGCAGCATTGTTTTTCTGCAAATCTTTGAGAAAGAAGTCTCTAAAATAAACTAGCTCTGTCATATTTCCAGTGAGCTCTCAGTTATTTTTTTTTTTTTAATTTGCTAGAGGTGTGTGTGCTCACTAGGGATGGAGAGAGACAGGGAGAGACAGGAAGAGACAGGGAGAGATAAAGAAAGTGAGAAAGCACCCCCTGGCGGGGGTGGCCGTCTCTTCTCCATTGTCCCCTCAGGATTTGGGGCATACATGCACATGCAGCCAGGACGTTTTTCAAGCCACCAGGTCTGGAACTCGAACCCTGCAGTAGGCCATGCGGGACCCAGCACCTTAATCACCACACCACTGGCCACGCCCTCCCTGCCAGCTGTATTTTCACATGCAGTTTATTCGCAAGGCCAGCTCCATACCTACTGGTTAGGGTGGGCTGGATCTCACAAGGCTGACATGAGTAGAACCCTGGCCCCAGAGCTCGGCAAGCACACCGGGCACTTGTATGTGTAAGCCCGGAGCCCTGACAGTGCAGACATGGAAGAGAAGGTACAGCCATGTGACCATGCTCCATGGGAGGGTGCTTTCTTCCTCTCCCCATCTCTCTCTCTCTGGCAATTAAAAACAAAGTGTATTTTACTCCATGAGAGAGCGAGAGAGGGAGAGGGAGAGAGGGAGAGAGACATTCCTGACAGTGTCTTCACATCGTGTCCCTCCCCGCAGCTGGCCAGGGTCACGGGCGCTGCCCACACCTCGGCTGTACATAGGGAGACCTTGGGGTGTGAACCCAGGCGCCCCCATGGCCTCACCACCAGGGAGCACTGAGTTACTGCTGGATCACCTGGCTGGCTTAGTGCATTTTTACTACATGGTTATTAGAATCAAAAAGAGCTTTGAGGAACTTTATTTATTTATTTTTTTAAGTTTGCTGTAGGGCATGTGCGCTTGCTGGAGAGAGACAGAGAGGGAGAGAGAAAGCGGGCCACCAGGTCTGGGACTCGAACCGAACCAGGCTCGGACATGTGGGAGTCTTCACCACATCCGCTAGCCCCAGCAGGTAGATTTAAGGCTTTCGGGTTTGTATCTGTGGGGTGCCGGCCATCCTCACCTCCACACCACAGGAAGGCCTGTGTTTAGCACACTGTGGGTGATGCTGAGCAGACAGAAGTAGCTAGCTGAGAACAGTGCATAGCTTCTGGGCCAAGTGCTGGGGTCCTGCCAAAACCTCTGCCGTCACCTGACACCCAGCAGCGCAGTGTGTGTGGGTGACTAGTGGGAGGTGCTGGGGGGCGTGCGATGGAGTAAACTCTCCTCATCTGTTCCCAACAAGGCAGGCTGTTATAAAAGCAAGTTGGAGGGTGAGGAGGTAGCATGGTGGTTAAGGTGCTGGACTCTCACGTGGCAGACTACGGATTGAGTCCCAGACCTGGAGGCATAAAAGCTGTGCTGGCTGTGTGTGCATGGGTGCCCAAAATCCCAGAAGGAGAACAGAGGAGAAGGGACTGTGGTGTGGCCAGCCTCCTGGGCAGTGATTTGTCATTCTCCCCCTTCTCTGAGGACACACACTGTATGACAAAAGCCCTAGAATAAATACAGACAGACAGACAGACATGCAAGGTGGTGCCTGTAGCACTCTTTGTTTGCACGTGACCACTTACTACTTCTTTCAGCCATGTTGTGACAGCACCAGACGCTGGCCCCATGCCTGGGACTTCCCAGCCACCAGAACCATGAGCCAAATAAACCTCTTTCCTTTATAAATCCCTCAGTCACGAATACTCTGTTGTAGCAACGTACTCTAAGACAGCGTGAAAATGCTGGGTAAGGGCCAGGTGGTGGCACAGGGCAACACATGGGAGGGGTTCTGGGTTCACTTCCTGAGACCTCCCTGCGCACACCCAGGGTGCACGTGAGCTGGGCCAGCTGAGACGGGGCGATTGCAGTGTGAGGATCCTGTTAGGGGTGCCTGTCTTTTATTCTCTTCCATAGAATAAGCAAGTTTTTAAAAAATCTGATGAGCTGTGGTAAGGTCGCAACACCTGTGCATTTCCTGTCTCCTGGCTGGCAGCTGGACTACACGGGCTGCGGGGTCAGCTGCCTGTAAACGGAGCCAAGGGAGCTCTGAGTTTACATTCGAAACGCCCATCTTTCTGTTCCTCGGTATTCATCCAGTTGTTTTTTCCTTCACTTCCCATGTCTGCTCTCCACCCCTATCCTCACCCTGCTGTCTCTTTGGTTCTTTCTTTTCCTTTTTAGACATTTTTGCTGTCGGGCGCATGCACTCGCTGGAGAGACAGAGAGGGATGGAGAGAAAGTGAGAAATGATCCCCTTGGGGGATGGCCCGGCTCCTCCATTCTCCTCCTGGGATCTTGGGCATGCACACACATGCGCCCAGCGTATTTCAGGCCACTGGCTCAGCCACGTGGGAGTGCAGTGCCATGACATGCCACCTGCCGGCCCTCTGTCTCTTACTCATGACTGTGTCTCCGGGATGGCCTGTCATCTCTTTACTGACTACAGATCACAACACATGCAGAAGGGAACTGCCGCTTCTCATGGGCAGTGGCACATGGCCAGCAGCACAGGCTGGGTCCCTGCCTTCCCTGCGGAGGTCCTCGCTCCCAGGGCCTGGTAGGAGGAGGGGCCTTTGGAGGTAAGCAGATCAGAAGGTCGACAGCCTGCAATCTGCAAGAGGGCCCTTTCCAAAACCACGCTGACACCTTGGTCTTGAACGTCCCACCTCCAGAATGCTGAGAAATACATTCCTGTCGTTACACGCAGCCAGTCTAGGGTACTTTGTTTTTGTTATAACAGTCCAGATTGACTTCGAAACAAAAGCGTGTTGCAACCTATGGTTTCCTGGAGACAACTCAAAATACAGGCTACTCAGTTGTCAAAAGTCCCTTATCCAAACACCCCTAACTCCAACTTCCCTCCCGCGGCCCTCACTTCGACGGGACAGCCCGTGCATGTTGGCAGCCTGTCCTTCTAAATCAGCCTCTCCGATGCTTGAGCAAGTCAGGCTGGGGAGAACCGGACATTTCAGCACCTGCAGAAGACTACTCAGTGCTAAGAGTCTTGAACTTCAGAGGGAAATGGTGGTTACCAGAGGCTGGGTGGAGGTGGGGAGACAGTGAGGCTGGGGCAATGCTGGTAAGAAGAGAACAAATTTCAGTGAGATAGAACAAGTAAATGCAAGGTTGTACGCCATGCTGACTGTCGCTAACCACCAAGTTCTGTGTTTGTGAGAACTGCGGAGGGCTTTGAAGTGTCCTCACCACAAAAATGGAAGTACTTGAGGTGTACCTGTGTTAATTTGCTGAATTTGGCCATTCCACAATGCATACATTTTTTAAAAATTAAAATTAAAAACATTTTTAAGAGAAATTTTTGCTGTAGGACATGTGCGCCCCCCGGAGAGACTGAGAGACAGAAAGTGAGCCGGGGGAATGGACACATTACAATCCCTCCTCCATTCTCCTCTCGGGATTTTGGGCATGCACGCACATGTGCCTGGCGTGAGTTTTAAGCTGCTGGATCAGGGATTCGAGCCGCAGTTGACCATATGAGAGTCCAGCAACATAACCACTACATCATCTACTGGTTGCTTATTTTAATAAAAAAATTTAATTTTAATTATTATTGTAATTATTTTTAAGTTTGCTACAAGGTATGTGCACTCATCAGAGAGAGAAGGAAAAAGAGAACAAGCTGCCAGGTCTGGGACTTGAACTATGGTTGACCATGTGGGAGTCTGGTCTGGTGCCTTAACTACCCACACCACCTGTTGGCCCCATAGACATATTTTAGTTTCTATTCTTTTCTTTTCTTTGAGAGGTTTTTGCTATAGGGCACGTGTGCTTGCCAGAAACACAGAAAGAGATAGAGAGACAGAAAGCGAGAAATCACCCCCCGGGGAGATGGCCATGCCACAATCCCTTCTTTTCTTGGGATCTTAGGCACACATGCACACACACCTGGCATGATTCTAAGCCACCAGTTCCAGGACTCTAACAGCGGTTACTACATCGGAGTCCAGTAACACAACCCTTATACCATCTACTGGTCCCGACAAATATATATATATATATTTTTTTTTTTGGGGGGGGCGAGTTTTTTTCCTATAGGGCGCATGAGCTCGCCAGAGAGACAGAAAGTGAGAAATCACCCCCCAGGGGGGACGGCCATGCCGCAATCCCTTCTCCTCCATTCTCCTTGTGGGATCTTGGGCATGCACGCACACGTGCCCGGCGTGAGTTTAAGCCACTGGGTCTGGGACTCGAACCATGGTTGACTACATGGGAGTCCAGCGTCATAGCCATTACGCTAACTGCTGGTCCCCCAATATATATTTTAAAACTACATATTATACACAATAAATATAAATGTTAATTAAAAATAAATAAATAAATAAATAAATAAAAATATGCCTCCCACCTGACCCTCAAAACTGAACGCCCCAGGTAACTCCCTCGACATCAGCACAAACAGCAGGTGGGCACGGGGGGACCTGGCAACGCTCAGGTGGGACACTCGCCTGTTCCCGGGTCATCTTCTGCAGCTCATCCTCCCAAGCTGTCTGGCCATCACCCAGGTTGTAGGAAGCTGGTGGGGTGAGCCCGCGAAGAATCCGGGGGTCTCGGTCATGACACAGGGCTGTCAGGTGTCCAATATACAACTTCAATTTGCTTCTGTTTTGGTCAAGTTCTAAGAGGGGCTGGATGATCTGAGATGGGAAAAGAAAAGAAGAAAGTCAATGTCGACCCGAAATGCCCCCCAGGCCACAAAGCACCGACTACACACAGCCTTGCTAGTCTCTGCGTCTCCATGGCCATGTCAGCGCTGAGACAGGGACCGCCTACTGCCGCGTGTTTGCATGGTCACACTCGGCACCACCCAAGGTGGCAGGAGTGCCGGCCAGCACTTCCACCTGGACTCAGAGCTCTGGACCGGCAGGGATCAGCCAGGACTGACTGGCCTCTACATGGGTACAAGTCCTGATACAGGCAGACGCCTGTCACCTCACGGTTTACCCTTCCACTCATCTGTGAGTGACTGTAAGATGCTGCTGGCGAGGACTGCTCGTCTGGAAGCCGGGGCGCCATCCTTGCTGTGCTCCTCCACCCCCTGGATTGGGAGGAAAACCTGGGCTCGGGAGGTGTGTGCTTTCTTGGTGGAGAGACGTGAGGAGGGCGGCTACAAGGTCTGCCTGCCCTGCTTTGGACGCCGCTCCTTCATCCTGCAGGGCTTCTGATCTGTTTCAACACCAGGGGTGAGTCCTGCTCTAACACCAGACACCTGGCTGAAGCCAGGACTGCAGACCCCCAGCCGCTGCTCTATTTCTGTGTTCCTCTCGTTGACAGACCTCGACGCTTCCCCTTGCCCTTGCCCCGAGGTGAACAGCCACTCCTCTGGCACCCACTGGAAGCACACCAAACGACCCATGACTTCTGACTTCTGCCCCAGGATTTCGTGTGACAGTTCTTACGACAATGCTCTGGCCAGGCATGCGGTAGTCAGGCCGAGCCTAGGGTGCCTAGGAAGAGAGTCGGGCCTGATCTCGCTCCGCAGACGCTCAGGTGGGACTGCACACCCACTCACGCAGCAGCTGGGAGAGCCGCAGCGCACGACTAGGGGCTGGGGGCTCGGAGCGCTCCCAGGGCTCGGCAGGCAGAGCCTGCACCTGCCGAGGACACGGGCTGGCGTTCCCATCAGCAGGACCCTCTGGCCCAGGACGCCTGCTACTTTGGCAGTGAAGCTGATTTCCCCATGGGCCCCCAACGGCTTCTCCTGCCAAATGCCTTCATTTTGTTTAGTTTTTTCTTTTTAAATGGAGTTTCATATTTTTTCTTATGAACATTATACACACACACACAAATTTTGAGGGGAACACGTATGAAGGAAATAATGAAACTGCACGTGGGTGTCCCGTGAGGAAGTAAGCACTTGGCCAGCCATGGTGGCGCAGTGCTAACGCAGTGCTCTGAGAGGCTGAGGCCACACGGGCAGGTCCTGGGTTCCTGTCCTGAGGTCTCCCCAGACGTGCTGCTGCGTATGCGTGCTTGTGACCCAGGCTGGCGTGAAGACTGCGGGGGATGCCTATCTCCCTCCTGTTCTGTCTCTGTCTCTGTCTCTCTCTCATGGACAAATAAACAAACTGGACCCCAGAAGTGACCATGTGGTGAGAGTCTTAGACCTGGAGCTTGATACATGTGCCACGGGCGTGTGTGTGCACGCTCAAAACCCGAAGCAGGGAGAGGCGGGGAGAGGTGCAGTGTGCAGTGCTCCGAGGGGTGCTTTCCTGCTCTGTCTCTCTCCAGTGAGTGCCTGTGCCCACTAGCAAATAAAAAAATGTAAAGGTGTAATCATTTATAACATTTGGATGACTTTCTTCCAGGTCTTTCTTTTTTTAAGAGAGATTTTTACTATAGGCCACATGTGCTTGCTGGAGAGACAGAGACAGAAAGTGAGAAATCACCCCCAGGGGGGATGGCCACGCTGCAATCCCTTCTCCTCCATTCTCCTCTCGGGATCTTGGGCACACATACTTTTGCACATGATGTGAGTTTTAAGCCACTGGGTCCAGGACTTGAACCACATTTGACTATATGGGAGCTTAGCAATGTAACCATTATGCCATCTGCTGGTTCCAATGTTCTTTCAAGTGTTTTTATAAACTTACATCAATTTTAAAAAGTATCATACGTCATGTTTGGCTTGATACACTATGTAACATTACATTGTGAGTATTGTTCATGACATTACATATTACTGGAAAATATGCTTCTTAATGGTTATATAATAAACACAGCACATTTCCTTGGTTTCTTTTTCTTTTCTTTCTTTCTTTTTTTTTTTAATATGGTTTTTGCCATAGGGTGCATGCACTCACCAGAGACAGACAGACAGTGAGAGGGAAAGTGAGAAATCACCCCCCGGCCCCAGGGGATGGCCATGCCACAGTCCCTTCTCCATTCTCTTCCTGGGGTTTTTGGGTACACACGCACATGTGTCTGGCACGATTTTCAAGCACCCAGGTCCAGGACCTGAACTGCAGTTGGCCATGTGGGACTCCAGTGCTTTAACAACAATGCAACGTGCTGGCCCTCCTTTGTTTCTAATACCATTTCCATGAAATAATTGAGAGGGAAGAGCCGAGGCTTAGTGGCCAAAACAACTGGAGCCTCATGGAGAGAGAACAAGAGCTTAGCCTACCCAGTACAGGAGAGTATAGAAGCCAGACTGCCTAGACAAAACAGAGGAGGTGAGCCAACTGATGCTGATTCTTTTTACTTACTTATTTCTAGCTGCCAGAGGGCATATGCGCTTGCAGAGAGGAGCAGAGGGAGCGAGGAGAGCACCTGGTGGGCACGGTGATGCCTCCTCCAGTCTCTCAGGACTCCAGGCAGGAACAGCATGCACTCAGCATTCCGAGCTCCTGGGGCTGGAATTCCAACCACGGTCAGAATGTGGAGCCTTAACCACGAGGCCACAGACCATACACACACTTCCATATGAGGCTAGAGCTTAGCCGGCGAAGTGCTGTGTGGGAAGCCTTAGGACTCTACAGGAGACCCCAGTCAGCAGGCGCATGGTGCCACTTCTGCTCTAGAATTCTCTACCGTGGACAAACCAACACGGCTAGTACAGAGGGACCAGTGTCTCAAGGAAGCAACGGGAGGTGCAGATTCTTTCGAGTCCTTGTTCTTAATCTCAATTTCAATCTGATTTAAATGTGTCTCCTGCTGACAGACTGAGTAAAGGGACAACCTGACGGTCTTCGTGCACACTTCTGTAGCATTTAACAATTTTCAACGTGCAACCATGAGCTTAAAGAATAAAGGACGTTTGCATTTTCTCCCCAGAATAAAAACTCATTCTATGCAATGACTGATAGAGTGGTACTTCCTTCCCTTGTCACAAGTAAAGGCCTTTAAAAAATAAAAAACAGCCTACTGTGTGAAGGCATTTGGAACTGCCCAACCAGTACGGCCCCTCAGCCTATCCATACAAAATGTACTTTGGTCTTTCTGGAGCAAATGACCCATGTCAACCATGTGGGAACAGGCCCTTATCTCCTCCTCGTCCTAATCTGAGCAGACCACTTAGGACAGAAATTCAGTTTCCCACAAGGTAGAACTGTCGCTGTCTAATCTCAAGAGGGAAGAGAGACATTGGCCAAGCAGAAAGAGGCTGCTTTATAGGACCCCCAAGTTATGTCCTCCGTCCAGATATGACCTCTGCATGCAGGCGAGAAGCCCCACAGACGTGAGCAGGACACGGTGAGGCCAGATTGCTTGTAAAGCTGTGCAGAACTAAGCCACGCCCCCACCTGGGGGATGGGGGAGTTATTAAAAAAAAAGAATTTGTTAAAACAATCTTTTCTTGGGAGTAGCAGTTGGCGTAACAGCTATGTCACTGGACTCCCATGTAGTCAACCGTGGTTCGAGTCCTGGACCTGGTGGCTTAAACTCACGCCAGGTGCATGTGCGTGCGTGCCCAAGATCCCGAGAGGTGAATGGAGGAGAAGGGATTGTGGCCTGGCCATTCCCCTCCCCCCCGGGGGGGTGATTTCTCACTTTCATGTCTCTCTGTCTCTCTGTCTGTCTGTCACACGTACGTGCCCTGTAGCAAAAACCTCTCCCCAAAAAAAGAAAAGAAAAGATAACCTTTCCTTGTACCATACATGATGTCAAATGTTCATTATTTCCCCATACCTACACTTGCCAAACTGTTAAGGAAAAACATTAAAAAGGGACGAGAAATTCTTGGTTTGAAGTACTGAGAGGATTTACTTATTTTTGTACTAGATTATCTGGTTCGTCTCAGAGGCCGGCAGTTGAGGGCAAATGGTGGGGTTCACTTTAACCTCGTATCCACTTACGAGAGGTTGGAGGACTAACGCTCTCCGAGAAGAAAGAGGAGTGGCTCCTGCACAGTTCGAGAGAAGTAACCCAAGATCCCAGCGTCCCACTTCTACAGCTCCCCGACCTGTGAGCGCAGACAGCTTCCCCACACCTGGCCTTCCAGCCCCAGGACGGACCAGCGCCGTAGGCCCAGCAGCAGCAGCTGGGCAGCCTGCATTCCCACTCCACGCACCCCTTGCCAGAGACACTCAAGGCTGGTCGTGGCACATTTCAGGAACCCATCTTGAGAAATACGGCACGCGCACATGATAAAGACGAGGTGGACAGGTATGGACACTGGAGAGAGAGACTAATATTCTGTGGTATGGAAGACGTCCTTAAAAAAATTTGAGTGTGCATGAAAGAGAGGAAAAGAGGAGGGACCCTTGGCAGGGTCCTGACGCTGTGACTCGCTTTCCCCAGGCCTCCAGGCTCCTCAAAATTTTGAGCACCTACATGCCTGGAATGTTTTCAGGCCAACCAGAGGATTTGAACCTGTGGATGACCATGTGGCTACTAGAACTACAGTTCAGTATGCCAGACCTAAAGAAGATATTTATTTATTTTAATTAATTAATTTTAGTTTTTGCTGTAGGGTGCATATGCTCACCAGAGAGAGAGAGAGAGACAGAGAGACAGAGAAGCTGAGAACCACCCCTCCCCCCTTCACCACCACCCAAGGTGGATGGCCATGCTGCAATCCCTTCTCTTCCTGTCTCCTCTTGAGATTTTGGGCACACACACGCACACATGCATGCTGCAATTTTTAAGCCAATGGGTACGGGACTCTAACCACTCAAACCATTTTGTTTTCTTTTAT